TTACTGTCCTCTCGCTTTGGCGAACAGTGCTCTGGAACCCTACAAACGCAAAGTCCTCATGGTGAGAGATTCGAGAGCAATAATGATAGAAGAACCCTTGAACTAAATCAAACTTCATCTTCATTCTCTTCTGTCTCTTTGTAGATATCGTCGTGAACAGTGCACCGACTCGCACACGGCCGACATTAAACCGACGGTCACCGCTTGATGCGGCCATATACCTTCTGGGTGGAGATGCCACAATGTCGCCAGTATGCTACACTAAGTTATGCTTCTCTAAATTTAAGGCAAATAATGCTCCAACCGACGATTTGGAGCAACCATACGACACACGTCCGGCAGACGATCAATCTTCCGTTGACAGTCAGACCTCGCTCAACTAACACTTCTTTTTTAGAACAACCGAAGCCTCCAATTTATGATCAGCTTCGGGATATTGGGCATGCCATGTGCCTCATGTGCCAACATATGCACAACATGTCTACAAGGTTGGAATATGTGGCGGAAGCCCAGTGACGCATCTTTGGGCGACTGAGAGAGTTCGAGGCATCCGTCATTCACCAGCTCACCACATATTCTGAGGTAGTCCGTCAGCTGCCAAGAAATCCCCTCGGTCAGCCCGTACGTTCTACCACCGATTTTCGGCAGCCAAACGTGCGATTATTGGATAACGACTTTAGACATGAATGTCTCGGAGGTTAATCTCTCAGCGACTTTGTCAAGAGACTGTTCTACGTCATTTTTGACGACGAAATAAGTGTTTTTGTCAACCTTAATGAGCGAAAACCAATGAATGGCCTCTCTGGGTCAAAGATATATGAAGTTATAATCGGCAACCATGTATTACGAATGTCACTTCGTCAAACGTAAAGGTCTTTGATTCGTGGAACGGGTCTGGCAATGCCACCCTGTCTCATTTAGAGTCCGCCTTAACGAGGCGACTGAAACGCCCACTGGACTGTTTTGGATAACGTGTTTAAAAGGACCATGCTGGACACTAACCATGTGGCAGGTGATTTGGTGAGCATTTCATATATTCACGTTTGATTTGCAAAAGAATTGCCTGGCACTCGTCCCTAAGGCTTCGGAACTAATTACAATAGCCATGGCAGTCAAGATAAACTGCAATAAAGGTATGTACATACTCTCCTTTTTGCGTTTTTTTTAAATGTGCATCTTCAAAATTTACAGTCTTAGAGGACCTTATATGTCTGAAGGCGCCTGTGGGGGTATCTTAGTGAACGGGCAGCTAAAACTAGAATAAGCATTTGGGTTTATACGCGGGGATTGGATAAAACTGGTCAATGTGAGGGTCTAGTGTTAGGTTGTGGCCAATTAAAAGCTATACCTGCCGCTTTCGTCAGTTTCCGTGTATCTCGTAAAATCGATATAAAGGCAATATCGGTTGACCACTCAACTTCGTCGTTAAGTCGTCGTCTGTACCCCGAAAAATCGATAGCTAACCGATATGGAATAGGTATACCCTTTAATCATCTGCAATTGTTGAAGATATGATTGTATACAAAACGAATTTCAAAGAGATTTTTCGTCTATGCTTATTTATAAACAATAATTTTATTTAAAGGGCATCAGAAGTCAACGGAAAAAGGTCCACACTACTTGAGCAGCCACTTTCGCGAGCGCGATTTTATCAGGCGGACGAAAAGGAATGGATTTAAAACCCGACATCTTAATATAATTAAAATACTTGGAGATTATGCTGATCGATGATCAATGTTGCAATCCAACTTCAGCCTCCCTCCTAATCGGCAAAGTATTTCATAATTTCGCTTAAAATTTAATGATATCGATCACTGGTTGTGAGCGCATCGCTATTTTTTGGATGTACGGGATGTCATGGGCAGGGATACACGTTTTAGTAATGCGGGAACACCAAGCTCGTTGTCGCGTTCGAATGAACTTTGTACAAACTTACGCCAACGAGTATACCTCGCCGCAAATACAATGAGGACAATTGCCATGCACGAAGATGCAGCATAGACGACTCCAGCTGGGCTTGACAATGCAGGCTCTGCTAAGGTGGTAAGTAGTACCTATAAACAGTACATAGTCACTCCTTGCCACACGCACCGATGATCTTAATGACTACTTTTTGCCCCGTCCCAACATCCGGCACCCATCTGTGGCTCCTCAAAACCATGCCCAGTGCGGCGGTCGCCCCCAGTAACCGTCCTCGACAGGTGAATGAAAGCATATGAGAATATCGTGTGTGTGTCTTCCTAGCCGGTAATCCGGAATTCCCACCAACTCCAAACAAAAACTTCTACAACTTGGTTGACATGGAATCCCGTAAGCTATCCAGGCTAACTAGGGGCGTCTTCCCCTTAAATAAAGTTGTGATCCATGACGGAATTCGGCTGCCGTATGGAACAACTAAACAACCGTTTGAGGACAGCATTGATTATCACCTCGCAAGGTGGAAGAGGCTAGAAAGGTGCTCTAAAACGTCTGGCAGAGCCAACTGTCGCCATCTGATCGTGGCGGATGTGCGCAAAAAATGAGGTCCGATAATCGCAACAATAAACAACACCGCCCCCATTTCCGTGCCTTCCCAGAGGCTGTCAAATTGACACAACTTACTTTGGCGGCCTAGAATTTTCGTTTACTTTGACTTACTGTCAAACCGTTCGGAAAGGATGACGGCTCTGGTAACTCACGAACTACTCCCCTAGAAAGTGGACATTGCGGCTAGCTTGAGAAGACATCCTCTGAAACTACGTGTGACAGGGGGCGAGAATGAACGCAAAGAGGCCCTTTTTAGTCCCAGAGTAGTAAAGGCATGGAATGCCCTGCCCGTGGACGTCGTCATGTCCTCATCCGTGGACTCATTTAAGAGAAAACTCGACCAGTACAGGGATATTTACCTTCACAACACCAGAAACTAATAAATTTTCCCCTGTACCACCCGTCCCAAAGATTCACGCTGCAAAGAATGCTACTCCCTATATTTTAGTAACATAACTTTTTGCCTTTTTCGCTATCTCCTGACCGGAGCATATGCGCTCGCTTCGATATCACTTGGTCCATTCAGTACCCTACGGGTTATTGTTCAATTTTGACGTAGAAGGCATTCACGGGCAAATTTACCCCGGTGACCAATGCTTGTTGAATGTAAATACTTACCTAATTTTCTTCGACACTTGCCTTACATACAGTGTTTTTATGACGTTATTGTAACCAAAAGAGAGTTCAATGGCGCTCGCCTACCTTTCTTTTAATAAATCTGATCTGACCTTGCATAAGAGGGATGGAAAAATCGTATTTGCATCGGCTTTTAAAATGCTTACCGGAACACCATCAGGTCCAGGGCTATGAGATTGAGTAAACGCCGAATCGCATCAGTCGCATCCCATAGAGTGAAAGTTATAGTTTCGAAAACTGCCTCGGTCAATGCCTGGATGGTCGGAAGCGGAGTGTTCGAGTTTTCACTAAACGCTTTGGACAGGAAAGCATTGAAGCTATCAGCGGTTAACTGGGCATCAACT